ATCATGTACAGTACAGGCTCTAACATGTACAGTACAGGCTCTAACATGTACAGTACAGGCTCTAACATGTACAGTACAAGAGCTCTAACATGTACAGTACAGGCTCTAACATGTACAGTACAGGCTCTAACATGTACAGTACAGGCTCTAACATGTACAGTACAGGCTCTAACATGTACAGTACAGGCTCTAACATGTACAGTACAGGCTCTAACATGTACAGTACAGGCTCTAACATGTACAGTAGTCACTCAATAAACTACCTTCACGCCACGACTCCTGTTATCTCGGTAGGGTTGTCAAAATCCTTCGTCCATTGTGTCATTATTGCCTAACATAATTATTGTAAAAGTTTTTGAGCGACTTATTTGGTTTAGACATATTGCCCGTCGGTGACAAAATCCGTGGTTTAGATATATTTCCGTGGTTTAGACACATCCGTGGTTTAGACATAATTCCCGTGGTTTTAAACATACTTCCCGTGGTTTAGACATATTTCCGTGGTTTGGACATACTTCCGTGGTTTAGACATACTTCCGTGGTTTAGACATATTTCCGTGGTTTTAAACATATTTCCTGTGGTTTAGACATAATTCCGTGGTTTAGACATACTTCCCGTGGTTTAAACATATTTCCGTGGTTTAGACATAATTCCGTGGTTTGAACATACTTCCGTGGTTTAGACATACTTCCGTGGTTTAAACATATCTTCCGTGGTTTAGACATAATTCCCGTGGTTTAAACATACTTCCCGTGGTTTGGACATACTTCCGTGGTTTAGACATATTCCGTGGTTTAGACATAATTCCGTGGTTTAGAACATAATTCCGTGGTTTAGACATAATTCCGTGGTTTAGACATGCTTCCGTTGTTTAGACACATCTCCGTGGTTTAGACATACTTCCCGTGGTTTAGACATAATTCCGTGGTTTAGACATAATTCCCGTGGTTTAGACATAATCGTGGTTTAGACATACTTCCCGTGGTTTAGACATACTCCCTGCGGCTAGAATACCTTTTTCTTAGTTTAAACACCCCATTCTTGTGGCCTCGATTTGGTACCGCTTATTGTCCTTAGAGTGAATGTCGTTCTGGTCACACACACACACACACACACACACACACACACACACACACACACACACAGGTCTGAACGTCCATAAAACATTCATTCAACGTAAACAAGTGACTTAGCTTAAAACCGTGGCTTTTGAAGTTCTCCTTGTAAATACAAAATTCCACCTTAATTCATACATATTCCGGGGTAGTGGGAAGATTTAACCGTATTGTAAACATGATTTTCCTCAATTTAGAAAAAAAAATCATGGTTCAGACATCTTCCTTCCTATTCGGACATTTTCCCCGCGTTAACTTTTTCGTAATATGAAAATTTCTCATTGCTTAGACATCATGACCTTAGCTTAGATATGCTGCAAACCTTCATTAAGACATCTCCACACTTATAGCCATCCCTACAATTAGACATCTTCACATAGACAATCTCCTCCTTAAGACATCTACACACACATTGTGCGACCAAATGAGCATCAGGAGAGGAGGAGGAGAGAGAGGCGGTTGTCTGGCATAATGGTCTTCTGTGAATATCGGTAATGTAATGTGTGGGCCATTATGCCCCACAGACAAAAAAGACCTCCCCTCCCTCCCCTCAGTTGTGGGTTTAAATGGTTCTATCTCTTCTCCTCGTCCTCCTCCTCTACCACTACTCCTACTCCTCGTCTCCTTCTCTTCTCCTCCTCGTCTCTTCTCTTCCTACTACTCCTCTTCGTCCTCCTTCTACTCCTTCTACCACTACCTATTACTCCTTTTTATTCTTTTTTTTTTATACATGGCCTCCATCCTCTATAGCCACACCTTCGCCGCCATTTTATTACCTTAAAATTAACTATCTAATACATCAGTAGCTACCCCAGCTGTGTTGAGTTAGTTGAGCAGCAGATCTATAAGGCATTCAGTGACTGTTGCCTCAAAGTCGATGTCTGCGACTGTTATTTGCTTTGGGGCCGATGATATCGTTCCCCTGAGGCAGAGAGCAGACCAAGGAGAGAAGGGGCTCGACATCTCACTCAGGCTGTAACATAACTACTGGGCTGCTGTCTTGTACAGATAACACTCCGAGAGTCGGCGTAGAAGCTTCTGCACTTGGGTCCCATCCCACCAGAGGTTGTGAATCAGAGGATGAAGTTGCCTTGATCAACGTTCTGAATTCTCTCCCCGTATGCCCTTATCTTGTCGTTCTGTTCCTCCTGTGCAGCATTGAGCTAGGTTACTGTGACATGCGGCAAGGGATCGAAAACTTATGCCAAAGAAGCTGCTGTCCCGCGTCCAGAATCCCTCGAGACTGACGTCCCCACGGGCCTTGTTGGATGTGTTTGAAGTCCGTGTGACGGAGCTCACCGTCCAATGGGAGGAGGGCGGGTTCCACCATGACGTCGGCAGATCAGTAGAGATTTGCCGTGAGGTCCCTTCATGCCTCTGTGGATACAAAGTCCATACATACCATGGCGTGGTCGATGTCGTTGGATGAGCCACAACCTTCTATTGAACCTACTCGTACCTTAGAGCAATGGCACTACTGCATGTGAATTTCTTGCCCTTATCGGTAACGTTGTTAGCCAGTTTGAGGCGCCCACCTCCTGCGCGAGATTTTTTTCAAGTTTTCTGGCAATTGCTGCAACAGTTGTTGCTGCAGTTTATCTCTGTGCCGCCGTTCTGTCGTAATGGACCGTCGAATCTTGTTTAATTCGTTGGTTTCCACTTGATTGCTGCATTCTGAGTTATTTATGCTCAGTGAGGGCTCAGTGGGCGTTGGACAGAGTTCTGTGGCCAAGCTGCCTCTGATTGGCTTTTCCACTCCTACTATTTTACCACTCACAACCTCTACTACTATCCTGACTTGTATTGGTAGCGAAAATAAATATAAATCAATTGAAATTTTATCATATTATGATAAAATTAATTCACCTGCATAATAGAGTCCAACAAAGTTGCAGAGAGGATAATTCTTCTTGATAAAGCCGAATATTTTATAAGATTAATTATATTTTAGTGAGTAGGGCTGTTTTATAGTTGACTCAAATGTTATTATATCATGTTTGAATGATTAACTCAACTCAACTAATCTGTAATTCTATCTAGTTTATCCTAGTTTAAGTGAAGGTAATCCTAACTTAAACCCATCTAACCCATCCATCCCCATCTAATCCAGCTAACCCCAACTTTAACTCTATCCTAGCTTTCATCCTAATCCTGTCCTAACCTATCTTAAAACTCATCCCTAACTTGGTCTCAACCTCAGCAAACCCGACCTCAACCACATGTCGAGCTCAACTCTCACCTCAATCCAGCTGAACCAACCTGGCCTTCAACCCAATCCACTTCAACCCGATCCCAACTTTGAGCTCAGCCTGATTCTGTCTCCACTCAACCTGTTGAATTCTCAACCTGCCTCACCTCAACCTGATCTCTAACTAAACCTGGCTCAGTCCCCAACTCACCTCTATTCTAATCTCAAATTCCAATCCAATATTATTGCACATTTCATATTTATATATTTTTATATATGTCAATTTGCATATACACACGGGATTCTGATACTCACCAAAATAACACCTTTCGAGTTTTAGGGAAGGTGCGTCAGCAGTTCGTTGAGACATCAAGGATCCTTAATTTGAACCAATATTATATTTTATTTTACGAAATATCCAAGATCCTGACCTGACGGATTGTGTTGTGTTCATTGTGTTATATAACACTTTGTCCGAATGAAGCAAATGGA